CGCTCCCGCCCCCCCCTTCCACCAACGACATCACCTCTGCCCCCCCCTCCTACGACAGCGCCCGGTGCCGGGCATTGCACGCAGCGCCCATCTCTGCACATTGCGCCCACCGCCGTGCAGCGCTGCGCGGTGCTGTGCCCCCCCCCCACCCCCAGCACCCCCCGGTTCAGCCCCGCCGGGCGCGCTGTGCGGGGGCACGGCTGCAGGTGCCATTTTGCAGAGGAACTGCGGGAGCGGCTGCAGCGCATCCTGCCGGGCTCCGGGCCCCGCTTCGTGCGGCGGCGATGGGGCGATGCAGCCGGCAGCGCTGACGGCAGCAGTGAGGGCGATGCCCGCGGCTTTGCTACCGGCAGTGTGGGCATCGCGGCCGGCAGCAGCGCGGCCGTGCGTGGCCGTCCGCTGCTGGTGGCGGCCGTCGGGGTGATGCACCCGGCACCGCTGCCGGCAGCCATGGGGACGGTGCGTCCAGCGTTGCGAGCAGCAGCTATGGGGGCTGTGCAGGGCTGGGTGGCAGCAGGGCAGCGCAGCACTCTGCTGTCCGCACGCACGCTGCAGCAGTGCCACGCAGCAGCACAGCCCGGTGCCACGGGGGCTGCTGGCCCCACCGGTGACCGCCCATCACCTCCTCCCTTTGCAGATGGCGTCCGCTACCGACTCCCGCTATGGACAGAAGGAGTCCTCAGACCAGAACTTTGATTACATGTTCAAAATCCTCATCATTGGTAACAGCAGCGTAGGGAAGACCTCGTTCCTATTCCGGTACGCCGACGACTCCTTCACACCCGCCTTCGTCAGCACTGTTGGCATCGACTTCAAGGTCAAAACCATCTACAGGAATGACAAACGCATCAAGCTGCAGATCTGGGTGAGCGCTGGGGGTCAGGGTTTGGGCCAGGATTAGGGCCAAGGTTGGGGTTGGGGTTGGGCTGTCCTGGTGCTGGGGGCTGTGGGGCTGTCCAGCCGGGTGCTGCTGTCAGCTCAGTGCTGCATTCTGTGCCCTCGGGCATTCCTAAGGCACCAATGCTGTGTGTGGAGCCCATCGGCTCAGCAGCAGTTTGGTGATTCCTGCATTATACACGGAGTGACCCGCAGGCAGTTTGCTGGCAGCAGCCGGATGCTGGCTGAGTTCTGTGCGCTGCATCCCAGCTTTGCCAGCAGTGCTGCTTACCTCTGCTGTGTGCACTGCGTGCAGAACGGCCCCGGGGCGATGTGCGGGCAGGAGTTGGGTGCTGGCTGAGCCCCAGAGCTGTGCACACCGCATGGCTCTGCATTGTGCCCCCTATGACTGTGTGCTCCCCCAGGACACGGCTGGGCAGGAGCGGTACCGCA